AAATGGCTCTAACAATTCCCTTGGCAGATTCCCGGTCTGCCTGGATCAATTCCAACAGCTCCCACGGTACCTCTGTGTCACCCGGCTCCCAAACGGATGGCTCCTGGAACCGTGGTCCCACCTCCCTCTGTTCCTGGCCGAAGAATGCCACCAGCCTCAACCGACGATGATACGCGGCCAAATCCTCCTGAAGTCCCCCTCTCTCCAGCCTGAAGGTTTTAGGCACCGGTACAAAGGAGAACCCTTTTCGTAATAGCTCCAGGGCCGAGTGGCTCGGCCGGAAAGTGGAAGATAAGTTAACCACTGCTCTGTCTTCCAAGGACGGTAGGTCTGGACCCCCTACCGCTAGCCTAAAAAAGACGACCAATCGCCTGTGCCGTAGCCGTAGACCAATGCACCTGATCCGGCACTGTAGAAAAAGCACTCCTCCTAAGCTTGGGTATCGACTGTCCCGTGCGGAAAATAATTTGATTCAATCCCTTGATGTTCTCCTTGTGCCTCGGTGGGGCCTCCGCTGAGATGTTGATGACGGGGACATGGATCGTAGCGTTTGGGAATGTATCCTTAGCTGCCCTCCAGAGCTTCAAAAAGTTGGACTCCCGTAGAGTAGGATTCCCCTGCTCCCAATCATTCAGCCCGAAGGCCAGCACCACCCGCTGGACCATTGGTGAGGTTGGCGTCTTCCTCCTGATTAGAGTGGCCGCTTGGGACAAGTTCGCCCCCGGAAAACTGTCTACCTGGATCCTAGCATCCCGGACCAAGGGCAGACGAGCGATGTTAGATCGCATGCTCCCCCGGTAAGATATGTTTTTAAATATTGGAGTTAAAGGTGGGGTAGGTAAGTTTGAGAAACCGACTCGAGATACACTTGTTGTTATATTCCATGGAATGCTCTTAACATCCGATAGCAATGAATATCTGAAGTGCTTTGACAAAAAATACATACAAAAATGTCATCTGTGGAAGCCGTAATACTGTAAAAAGTATAACCAACGGATTGGATTGCCGCCCTGTCTGTCAGCCTTCCATCTCGTGCACGCACAAATGTATCTCGTGCCCTCATTGGGCGTGCCGTAATTGGGCGTGCATTGCGCGTTCATGTGTGTTGGAGGAGATGCTCTGTAAGGAAGTCTGAAGGAAGGGGCGGATTATTTTCGGCTGTGTAGTTTCAAATTTTAGTGCACTCGAGCCGGTTTCTGAAACGTACCTACCCCACCTTTAAATGCATCAATCTGGTGCACTTTGAGGGGGAAATAAAGAGACTAGATATATGGAAACACCCATATGAAACAGAACTGTATATGTTTAAATAATCATAAAATCATAAGAACATGGCCATAACCAATAACATACCATATCCAATATGAAAAAACATTGAAACTTGTTTATTTATTTGATTTTGGCTCATTTATAGTTGTGAGTGTGTCTGTGCTCCTGAATCAGCCTCTCCTGTCTCCCTCCTCTCCCCTGCTCCTCTTTGAGGCAGCAGCAAAGACTAGTTTAGCCCTCAACAAGTTTTAAAGTTTCTTACCTTTTTTCACCTAGTTAATTTGTTTTAATTATTATTCATGCATATTTTACTAATCACTCCCCCCTCAAATGGAAATATGTGTTTACATAATGGTGACCAAACCGTTTGAGACCCACTGAGATAACTCAGACTAAGTTAACTATCTAAACCCTCAGAGTCCTTTACCTCACCTGAGCTGTAGTCATCAGCCTCTCAGTCTGACAGCAGAGGACTCTCCTCCTCCTTATATCCATTAGCACAGCTAGCTAGCACCAGATGCTAACAACAGCAATACACGTAACCGGTGCGTGCGCTCTATCTCTCTCGCTCGCTCGTGCCACACATACTGTACACACACACCATCCTGAGCTTGAATGACAGAGACCAATCGAGGGCTTTAGTGTATGGTCGGCAGGCCACATCATGTAGACAGCCAGTCACCCTCTGTGAGGCAGAGTCAGACCCACATTTGCGCAGCGTTGCGTTGACAATACATACATTAAAAAAAAAATCCCCAGGCCAGCAGGCCACTTAGCAGGCCAGGCCATCGGGAAACCTCCCGGTCCTCCCGATGGCCAGTCCGGGCCTGGTGGGGGGTGTTACCTTGGTTAGTTATTGGCTAATGGTAACACAACCCAAAAGAACATTATGACATCACAAAGTAGCAAAAATCTGATCAGCTCATTTTCAGACAGGTTTTTATATAAATGGATCAGGACAAAGAGTGAATCTTTTTTCCTGAAACTTTCAGAATCTCTTTACACAGAGGGGACACATGTTTATGTATAAAATACATGAACAAGTGGATATTGCATAATAGGTGAACCTTTAAAGCAATAATATTAAGTTTAAATAGGTTCAACTTAATAATGTTTATTTAGTTAAAGTCAACGTTTGAGTTTTTGCATTGTATCAGTGTGTCTTTTCTCTTCCCTAACAACCACACCATCGATTGAAGCTGCTTTTCTATTCATTAGATTAATGAGTGGGAACAGGAGGTGCATTTCATGAGAACGCCTAACCTAGACACACGTTGAATAATGTATTTCCTTTAACATATCTGAGACTGTGGTCATGTTTGCCGTGCAGCAGATGTCACTCCTTCACTCCTCCTGTCAGTGCAGGTCTTCATTAAGAGTTTCAAAGGTGGGCCCTCTGGCAAAGCACCAACAGCCAGCAGCAGTAACAGAAGCACATCAACAGTGTGGATAAAACAAGATAACCCCTCGTTTTCTAGCACCATATTACCATATCCTCTATTATTCATGCAGTGCTGGTTCAGATTTTGCACCTTTAAAATTGTTTTAGAGACTGGATGTGTCCTGTGCAGGTATGTGAACTCACTGAATAAAATATTCTTCTGGTTCCAAGGGAGACTTTGGATTGTTTGCTGTACAGAGGTTTTTATGGGGGAAATGGGTAGAAAATAAGGAATATGTTTAAAGAACCAAGCCTGTTTTGTAATATGTAAATTACCCGTCTTTAAAAGCACAGCGACATTAAAGGACATCCTGCCTTTACAGAGTCAATATACCTACTGCTCATGAGTCGATTAAGAAAAGGAGGGCAACACTATTTTTAAGTGGGGAAAAGTCAAGAAGAACAAGACTACATGGTTACAACCACACTACCAGTCCCTGGAGGCTGAAATGTTTATTTCTTGAAGCCTATGACATATCACTTAGATTGAACACCATAACCATATCACAAAATGATTAAACAACAAGAAACACCAAATCAGTAGGTAACACAAAGCAAGGTTATACACTCTTTGACATAGCCTAACTAACAGACACACTGCCATAGACAAAGGAGGCCAGACTAAATAATAGAGGCGCGCTGATTAGTGAATTAGTAAACTGATCAGGACGGGGCAGGTAATCACAAAGGTGGGAAACACACAAGGACCGGATGTGAACTAATAAGACACAGTAAAGGATTTTACACTACAGTTCATATTACAAAAGAATATCATGAAACATGTATGCTGTTGATATTGCAAACGACAAGGTAATATTGTTGAAATGCACATGATTCATCCTCTGGTGAACATGAATATACCTAATCATCACATTGATCGTTGATACTGCAGTGAGCACTTTCTTTGATTTCTGTTTCAGCCATGTTCCAAAAGTGCTGATTCTGTAGCTTTGAATGCAAATGAGCTGCTGCTGTCCACGCCCATTTGCGGACGTGTTTCTGGCTCTATGCCCCCCACCTGAGCAGCTCAAGCCCCCAGGAAGTGCGCCGGACTCTGAGGAAAATATTTGTTGTGGCCAAATGGCGGTACTACACGTCCGTTTGGTTGCCAGGCCCGGAAACACTTTTTCCCATTGACTTACATGGGGAAAGAGTGGTCTGTAACTCGTTGGATAATTGTTTTTAAACTAAATAAACTACCCAGTATGAACGTTTGTATAGCCCTTATTAAAAACATTCGGTCCTCAAGTTGTAAAATGTGCTAATAACATTATACTGAGAGTTATTTCCCTCTGCATTATGAACGCGGATCTAACCCTAGGGGCCGCGCCGCCCGGCACGTTCATGTTACGTGTTCAGTACTACATGAGATGTACTTTTTACCCATGGATGCACAATAAGAACGGACCCATATCGCCTTACTGCCAGCCCACGGAGCTGTAATAATGGATATATTGCACATGTTTGCTGTAATTCATCATTTGTAAAATATTATACTACATGGGCTGTATGATGTAAATGTTGTATTAAATAAAGTGAATATTACCGACGTAGATTAACGTCCCTGTAGCTTCTTATTGCACTTGCAATATACCATTAAAGGTGGGGTAGGTAATTTTGGAGAAACCGGCTCGAGTGCGCTAGAATTTGAAAATACACAGCCGGAAAAAATCTGCCACATCCTTACAGAGCCCCTCCTCCAACACACAGGAACGCGCACATGACCAATGAGGGCGCGTGGTAAGTTTGTGCACAGATGGAAGGCTGACAGGCAGGTAGGCCATCCAGTTATTTTAGCCGAGCCGGCTCAGATGATTGGTCGTGCTTTTTACAGTACTACGGCTTCCACAGATGAACATTTTTTAATGTATTTTTTGTCAAAGCACTTCAGATATTCATTGCTATCGGGATGTTAAGAGCATTCCATGGAATATAACAAAAAGTGTATCTCGAGCCGGTTTCTCAAACTTACCTACCCCACCTTTAAATGAGTTGAACGTAGCTGTTTGCTATTACTATATAATACCACGCAGGGATAAGAGCGTACAACCTTTGCATCTGGGCACAACACGTTTTGACCCAGTTTGATTAATTCGCTATACCATATGATATCGCCCGGAGAAGTCCTCATACTTATACATATATAAATAAAGATAGTTTCAAAGCTCTTATCAAATTAACAGTTGTATTAATTATAATTGTATATGTATACATATATGTATATAGCCTGTGTGTTGTATATTTATACACACAAAGGAACAACCTTTGTTGTCAAAAAACAAATAACAAGTTGTATTGTAGTGTTTATTTTAGTGTTGTTTTATGCTTATCCACATTTTGATTTCAGAGCACAGGACAGGAGAATGCCGGGCACAACATACATTTTAACAGTGAAGCTGGCAATGCTGAACAAAACCATCTAGTTATAATATGTATTCAGCTGAAAAAGTCAAAGCTCTACGAAAATGTAATTAAAAATATATTGCACATGGTTGGTATTTAACAACAAGGGGTGTTATAGTCTGTGATGTAGTGAGTGATATTGGTATTTATGGAACATTTTACACCTTTCCTTCAAGTAGGCTACTAGCCTATACATTTTAGTTACTTGTGGGGTACTTAACATGAATACAGTTACTATCCTTTTACTCCATCACATTTAAAAGAGAAATAGGCTATTGTTATTTTAACACCACCACAGTAATCCATCATCAACTTTACTTTTTAGATAAAGATTTAACTCACAATTGATCATAACACCCAGATAGCAAAATACATTAATTCAACATTGGATTTTGGTTAAATTAGTTATTTTTGGTTGAGGTTGAAAAATCAATGTTGATTCGATGTGTTATTACAGATACCATTTCAACGTTTGAAAAAATGTTGTTGAATCAATGAAATATAGATGCCGGTTTTTCAAGGTTGAAATTCCCTACATTGAATTTACATTGTTCCAACGTGAGACCAACTCTCCCCTCCCCTATACAGTTGTATTTAAAACACAGCATAACAAGGAGGGCATTGTTGTTAAGCGGTTAGTAACGTTTGTTTATTGGGGTAGCCGGTGTTCCGGATTAACTGGTTCCCCGATCAACTGGTTGACAGATGTGGAGGCGTGGCCTTCGACTGAAATACACATTTCGATCGCTTCTTCTGCCTTTTACATAAATCTTTTGGTATATTTGGCTGGATAGGAACAATTTGATACACATTCAGTACCAGTGTGTGAGGTTGTGCTTACGATGGCGATATCCGGACGCGAACAGCGAGGACTACAAAAAGAAAAACAGGTTGACATGGGGATGTCTGTTCAAAACATTGCGAGCTCCAATAAATCATTTAAACCAGCTATTGTTGCCAGACTTATTACTGAATATCGTTCTTAATGTGATACCAAGTCCATCTGAGACATGTGTACACCTTCAGACAGCCTCCAAGTGAAGCACACGTTGTTTACTCACAGTTTGAAAGCAGCGTGGAGAAGTCTTCAGCTGTGGTAAATTGTGATCCGCTCGAATAAAACCTTAAAACCAGCTATTGTTGCCCGACTTATCACTGAATATCGTTCCTAATGTGATACCAAGTCCATCTGAGACATGTGTACACCTTCAGACAGCCTCCAAGTGAAGCGTACGTTGTTTACTCAGAGTTTGAAAGCAGCGTGGAGAAGTTTTCAGCTGTGTTAAACTGTGATCCTCTCAGGTAAACTGCGATTCGCTCAGGGTCAACTGGGATCCACCCATGGGAAAATGGGATCCGCCCAGGTTAAACTGTGTTACGACTTCTGTGGCTATCTACCAGCGATCATGTTTAATATGAAAGACACACACATGTATCCCTTATAAAAACGGCATTCTGCAGCACTCATCCAGATAACATGTGACTGTTAACTCGTTTTGCAAAGATAGCAGCAGAAATGTCATTGCTGCACATGCAGGGATATTAGACTTTAAAATGCTGATGGGTCATTAATGTTGGTCTCGGCAAACAATATTAGGAATCCTCTATTCAAACTACATAATATTCAGTGTCCATCGACATGAAAATAACAAAAAAGTTCATGCTGGACTCAAACCCGAGTCCGAACAGCAAAAGTCACTCCGGCCCTGCGCGTTATGAGTGCGCCACGGATCAACACGACACCATGGTAAAATTAACATTTATCACAACATAATGTGGGCTCGCAGGCTGATAAACTAGGATATCTGATCTCGGTGGGTCTTAATGAGGCTTGATACAGACCTCAGTCAGAATACTATATTATAATATGTATATTATATGGCTTAAAGTGTACATACATTCGCTCACATTATAAATGATGGTCGGGTTGCATTTTTTCTGGAACTTTTTAACAAGGTTAATCTAAAATATTATAGTGTGGTGGTTCGATACGTTGTGTTGATCCGTGGCGCACTCATAACGCGCAGGGCTGGAGTGACTTTTGCTGTTGGGACTCGGGTTTGAGTCCAGCATGAACTTTTTTGTTATTTTCATGTCGATGGACACTGAATATTATGTAGTTTGAATAGAGGATTCCTAATATTGTTTGCCGACACCAACATTAATGACCCATCAGCATTTTAAAGTCTAATATCCCTGCACATGCAGCAATGACAATTCTGCTGCTATCTTTTCAAAACGAGTTAACAGTCACATGTTATCTGGATGAGTGCTGCAGAATGCCTTTTTTATAAGGAATAAATGTATGTGTAGTCTTTCATATTAAACATGATCGCTGGTAGATAGCCACAGAAGTCGTAACACAGTTTAACCTGGGCGGATCCCATTTTCCCATGGGTGGATCCCAGTTGACCCTGAGTGAATCACAGTTTACCTGAGAGGATCACAGTTTAACACAGCTGAAAACTTCTCCACGCTGCTTTCAAACTCTGAGTAAACAACGTACGCTTCACTGGGAGGCTGTCTGAAGGTGTACACAGGTCTTAGATGGATTTGGTATCACATTAGGAACGATATTCAGTGATAAGTCGGGTAACAATAGCTGGTTTTAAGGATGTATTCGAGCGGATCACAGCTTAACACAGTTGACGACTTCTCCACGCTGCTTTCAAACTGTGAGTAAACAACGTGTGCTTCACTTGGAGGCTGTCTGAAGGTGTACAACAATAGCTGGTTTAAATGATTTATTGGAGCTCGCAATGTTTTGAACAGACATCCCCATGTCAACTCGTTTTTCTTTTTGTAGTCCTCGCTGTTCGCGTCCGGATATCGCCATTGTAACCACAACCTCACACACTGGTACTGAATGTGCATCAAAGTGTTCCTATCCAGCCAAATATACCAAAAGATTTATGTAAACGACAGAAGAAGCGATCGAAATGTGTATTTCAGTCGAAGGCCACGCCTCCACATCTGTCAACCAGTTGATCGGGGAACCAGTTAATCCGGAACACCGGCCGCCGGTGACTCTGGCATTGTTGTGTTACAGGTCTTGTTGTTTGGTTGAGGGTAAAAAACATCTCAAACTTCGTGACTTTTCCTAAAACGGGTATATTGATCATCGAGTGAATTTTGGGGCTTGGGGAATTAAGAGAGAGAGAAAAAATATATACTTTGCCGCCACACCCCGTTGCCAAGCAACACTTATTGTTTAGGTCACGCAGCTCCGTGATCACCTGAAGCTCAGCCACTGTAACGGACCGGTGAGCGGAGCAAAACACACGTTTCAAGTTAGACCAAACACACGTAGCTATTTTATCTACCTCTGGAACTAGCTAAACTAGTTATACATATGTTTATTCTTTGTGTGGGGTCACTCATTACTGGAGTAGCGAGCTGCATGAGACACTGACAAAGAGAGCGCTCCGTTTATTATACCGGTGTTATTATGTAAAGTTAATGTTAATTTTGAATAACGTAGTTAATATACTATTAGTGGTTTGTTTAAATGTGTTCATTGTTTTGTTTTTTGTTTGTAGAAGAATACCATTTCTTGATTTATTGTAAAATGAATCCGAACGTTTTGATCTGTTACGATGATAAACTGAAGCAATTTAAAAATTAACCCCATTAACTGAGTTTTAAATCGTTTTTTGTTAAGTCCTACTAAGTATATAAGGAAAGGATCAAAACTAACATATTAAAAGTTTCAAAAATGATATCTGTGCGAGTGCTGACTGAACTGAATGTCCTATAGAGTGGCGATGTCACGCCCATCTACTTCCGGTCCATGGGACCTTATTTCGGAAAAATACTGTATTGAAGTTAATGGAGAGAGAAAATGTATCTTTCGATCCCGTTTAAATTGTGCCAGGAATTACACATATGATGTTTGTCAATCTTAAAAAATAATTTCCATGTCAAAAAAGTCACAGTTTGTCGTAAAACTGTTGAAATATAACACTATGAAAAATACCCAACTAGAAAGACTACAAATCCCAGAGTCGCGTAAGTGATGTCACAATTGTTTTCCTCCGCTAAATATAAGAGATAGCTAAGATAAGATATCTTTAACAAGATGCCTGTGTGCTTAGTACCAGGTTGTTATCATACCAGCAATGGGTCTTGCTCGTTCTTTCGCTTCCCGTCTGATGAAAGGACTAGTGATGGGAATTCCGGCTCTTCTTGGTGAGCCGGATCATTTGGCTCGGCTCACCAAGAAGAGCCGGCTCTTTCGGCTCCCAAACGGCTCTTCAGTTTACCACATATTATACCTTTTAATTAAATCAAATGTAGCCCTGTTTTGACTAATGATTTATATGTGTACACACATATAACACTTACATTATTCAATACATCCTTTGTACTGAAGTATTCAAAAGTAAAAATGATATGTTTAATATAAATGATTTGCTGTGGCCAAATGTTTTCATTGCATTTACAGACCCGTGTAACTCTCTGATACCACCCAATGAATGCACTGACTTGCTTGTCGAACCACGCTACACAAAACAGATAGCAACACCTATAAAAACTATTTTAAAAAAGGGGCTACTGTATCGACATTTTAAAATTATATTTAAAGAAAGTAACTATTAGCTATAGAAAAAAAGACAGCAACAGCTGACATCAAATCTTTGCTGAGCCTAAGGATAATCATAAATAAATAACATAGTGAAAATAAATATATTGCAATGCTCAAAACAGCAGCATCCAACCGTCTCTAATCCTTGGATATTACATGTCACCTGCATGCATGCACGGAGCAGCTGTAGCGCGGAGATCATCATCATCATTATGTCTTGTATTACTTAAAGTGGACCTATCATGCTATATTTTAACAATATATTGTAGGGCCATATCTATATAAAGTATATATATGATTCTGTGAGCTGCAGCTGACCACGCCCCCCTGCAGGAGAGGGCAGCGTGCTCTGAGATCAGCTGCTGGGCTCTCAGAAGAGGGGGAGAAAAAGAGATCTCCCTCCTCCGTGTTTTATTCTTATTGAAGTAAGAAGAGAAGTAATGGGGCAGAAACCCTCCTTTTTACGCAGCGGTCCAGACATAGACATCAAACGGCGACACATATTCAGTTGGCCGTTACTTTGGCATTAGGGCAGGGATATCTAGATACCTTCCAAAGTTTGACATAATGAATTGTGCTACTTTTAAAGCAAGCAACGATGTTTTCAAATCTGTAATCAAAAAGCTCCTCAAAAACACTCTCGAAGCAGTTCCTGCCGTTGCTACGTTAGTTCAAACAGTAACAACGGACTATTTTTCTTAGCGGATGCATGTCAATTTAAATACATACAACTCAATAAATCAATAAAATCATTTTCTAAATCCATAAAAGCATTTCAATTAATATTGGGAGTCATGTCGTTAATTTGTTGTGAATGTGGCCATGTAATACGCGGGATAATGTGCACATTGCATAATGTGCCTTCATGCCGATCTAGATCCCTCCGCGAAAAAAAAAAAACCGGCTCGTTCGCGGGCGCGAGCCGGCTCCCGTCGTTCACTTAAAAGAGCCGGCTCTTTGAGCCGGCTCGTTCGCGACCGACACATCACTAGAAAGGACCAGGAGTGGCTGGATCAAGTTAGCTACCTAGCAAGCACGTTACATTACAGTCTCAGCCTTGTCATTTTTATTAGCCTTAACATGAAGTAACATCAAGTAACCGAAATTGTTAAACAGTAAGAGTAGTAGTCATATTTCGTGAGCCCTTTGAAGAGTACTGTCACACCTAGGGTTGCCAACCGTCCCGTATTAGCCGGGACGCCCCGTATTTGAGCCAAAAGGGGCGTGTCCTGTACAGGACTTTGTTTGTCCCGGACTCCCGTGTAAAGGGAAAAATAAAAAATATTTTTCTGTTTGCGCGCAATTCAGTGTGTCTGGCTGCGTGCCTGTGTGTTTGTGTGCTGTATGTAAAGGGCGCTAGGACCGCTCAGTTGACAGGGCAGGGACAATGCTCGCACGTGTGTGTGTGTGTGGGAGATTTTCTCCGGTGGGCGGCGGGCGCGGCATCATTGATTGTGTGGCATGTCAGCCTGTTCAATCGTGTGGGAAAATGAGCCCTGCCCTTCTAAAAAGAAAATACTTGTGTCTTACAACAAACAGTGGGAAGAAAAACACAGTTGGGTAAAGCCCGTGAGTGGAAATCTGTCTCGGGTCTTCTGCACCTTGTGTCGGAGGGAGTTTTCAATAGGTCACGGTGGAAAAAACGACCTGAAACAGCATGCTGGCACAGAAATGCACAAGCGAGCAACACAAAATAAAGGTGCATCAAATATAACTAAATTCTTCGGCAGTTCAACTGCAGAACAAGACAAAGTTGCTGCATGTGAGGTAACATCAGTGTATCACACAGTTAAGCATGGTTTGAGTTACAACAGCATGGACTGCAGTAATAAGCGGGCAAGTGCCATGTTTAGTGATTCGAACACTGCAAAGAAAATGCAATGTGGAAGAACAAAGGCTGAGATGATAACAGCCAATGTGCTTGGCCCCAAAACTGTTCGGGATATTCTAAAAGAGCTGTGTCCTCCTCCCACCGATGTCGCAGCAGGTGAGGAGGTGGAGTAACTAAAAAAGTAACTAAATCCGCCAGAAACCCAAAAATCTTTGGGCGCACGTGCGCGGGGGACACATGCATGTGTCCCGTTTCTCCATTTCTGGAAGTTGGCAACCCTAGTCACACCGGTGTGATCATTCTATAATACACCATTTAAGCCCGGGGTAGAAACGCTAACGCTACATTAGCATCGGCGATCTGTTCTACTTCATGCTATCTGCACAAATGGTTGACATTAAACATTAAAAAGATCAGGCAGTTCAGAGAGAATCAAAGGAAGGCAGGCAGCTTTGTATGACATTCTTCTGGACGTGTTTCATTGTGTTTTGAAGCCATTCAGACTATCTTTTACGAGCTTGGCTCTAGATGCTCGCAGCGCATAAGGTCTCGGGAAAACAAAGCTTTTGCTGTGAATGTTAATGGCGAAGCCAGACATGACTTTAATCTATGTTTCGCCTGTTCTAGTGCATTGTGGTTAGTGCTCATGTAAAACCTCACAGCATTCATTTCATTTTAAGCATATAAGTTCTCTTCTGAAATAGAGAATCAAAGAATGTGTGGATGTGTAAATTGCCTGTTCAAAAGAGGGGCATATCCAGTATTTCTACCAAGGGGCAAACTCTGGGAAATAGCCGGGACGCCAATATGGAAGTGCCACACACTGCAGTTCATATATTGGCCGATAGGCGATGGCTGCAGAAAGGAGCAATTTCCATAGACCCCCATGTTAAAATGCCCAATTTTACAGCAGAAAAAAACATGTTTCTACCCCTGGCTCCATACATTTTATTATCGATATAGTTAGATTCCACCTTCATGATTATGGATCTGTGAGTGAATTGTTTTCTAACGCTACCCTTTTATTTATATTAGGTCTTAACGTTTTTGAATAAATTAGGGCGTGGTCACATTGAGTGACGGCTCTGTGAAGTGACTGCTGCTGCTAGCTTCTCGTCTCTCTGCTACCTGCTCCGTGAAGCTTGCTACAGGGACTCTGCCTGCTCAGTTCATCCAGGAAACACAACTTGAAGCCGGCCGTGGCTGTTTGTTCTTCATACTTATATATCGGACTATTGTGACTCGCTCTGCGGTTAAAA